CCACCATATCCATTCTCCAACTGATGGACATTCAGGCTGATCCATCTCCTTGCTCTCTCAAATAATGCTGTGAGAAATATCCTCCCTCATATTGGACCTGTGCAGTTTGTGGAGCCCATACTCAGGAGGGCTTGCTGAGTCATAGATAATTAATTTCACCATTACTGCCATATTACTCACCAGTTCGTCCTGCCAGTGGCTAGGCATGAGAGTAACTATTTCCCCATATCCTCAGGGTATTACCTGTCTTTCTCATTTTTGCAAAAATGATGGATATGAAGTTATAACTTTTGACTTTAATTCATATTTCTTTGACTTCAAGCCAGGTTGAGCAGCTCTTTATCTATTTGTAAGTCATTAAATTTTCTCCATTCATGAATTACCTGATCATAGGTTTCGAATATTTTTTCTACTGGGTTTTCTGTTTGTTGTCATGGCTGATTAGCATGCATTCCTAGTACATTTTGGATATTGATCCTTTGTGGTATTGGATGTTGCAAATGCCTTCTCCCAGTCTGTCACCAATCCACCGAATTTGACTGTGGTAGACTTTTTTTGAATAAAAATCCTTCATTTTTGAAGAGGGGAAATCTATATATTGTTTTAAAAACGTTTTCTCATTCAAAATGTGTAAAATATTCTCCTACTATTTCCCCTACCAGCCTTGCAGTTCTACTTTTCACAGTTAAATCTTTAATTTCTTTGGGATTTTAAAAATAAAGGACATTAGGTACAGTTTCAGTCTTATTTTTCTGCATATGATTGGCCAATTTCCTAACTCTACTTATTATTTTTTTTAAATTTACTTATTTATTTTTGGCTGCATTGGGTCTTTGTTGCTGCACACGGGCTTTCTCTAGTTGAGGAGAATGGGGGCTAGTCCCCATTGCAGTGCGTGGGCTTCTCATTGTGGTGGCTTCTCTGGTTGTGGAGCATGGGCTCTAAGTGCACGGGCTTCAGTAGTTGTGGCACGCAGGCTCAGTAGTTGTGGCTCATGGGCTCTAGAGTGCAGGCTCAGTAGTTGTGGCACATGGGCTTAGTTGCTCCGTGACATGTGGAATCTTCCCAGACCAGGGCTTGAACCCGTGTCCCCTGCATTGGCGGGTGGATTTTTAACCATTGTGCCACCAGGGAAGTCCTCTACATACTTAAAATTAAAAAATTTTCTTGGCAAAATCAAGTGAATTCATTGTTAGCTTAATTACTAGACTTTTTATAACTGTATTACTATTGTAAAGGAAATAATTTAATTTACAATATTTACTATTTTATTAAATATTTGTTTTTAACAAATATAATTCTTTAATATTTTATCTTTTAGTTACTTGTTGGTGTAGGAAAATACTATTTTTTTCCCTTTTTTTCTTTGGCTGTGCCACGTGGCTTGCAGGATCCTAGTTCCCTGAACAGGGATCAATCCCGCGCCCCTGGCAGTGAAAGCAAGGAGTCCTAACCGCTAAACCACCAGGGAATTCCCGAAGATACTATTTTTTAATTGACATTTTATCCTGCAACATTTTCGGGCACTTTATTGGGACTTCAAATGACTCACAACTTGGCATTTTCCTCTATCAGAGAGTGGAAAGAAAGACTACCATTTCCCTAGTTCCCGGGGGCTTTACAGTGACTAAGCAGTAGATGAATTTGGGGGTCTCTCTCAAACTTGCCAAAATAAAGTCATTATGAATGAAGAGAAGCAAGTCCAAAGCATGGATAATAAATTCAAATACCTACGTGGGCTAAGTTTAAACAGCAGGGAATGGTGGAGACTGGGGCAAAGCAGAAAGCACAAGTTCTGTCTAAAAGGAAGAGACAGCCCAGTTTTTTCACATCTGTAGATTTTTCTAGGAAAAGCCTCAAATCATTGGTTTTAAGATAACTTAATCAAATTTTTACAAATATTGGCTGGACCAAAGAGATCACATCTGTGTGCTAGCTCTGTTTCACATCTACAGGGCTGCACCCTCTGGTCTAAGAATGTCCCAAGGGGAGGGGACAATAGGGAAGTAACTGAATATCATCTCTGGACCCCATCCTCCCATTCCTTTTATCCTCCCCCACCCCCCTACCCCATTGTCTTCACTGTGCAGGGTTCTATTCCAGCTAGCCTGGACATCAGCCTTGTGGGAACTGAGTTTAGAACCTGAGGACAGAAGATGGAGGTTGGGGCTGGGCCCACATCATACTGCCTGAGAACTCCCAAGAGAACAGGAGCCTAAGCTGGGACAGGACTCGATAGGTGACCTACTGGCTTCACCTGAAGTGGTTTGGCACTGGAACCACACAGCTCTTTCCAGCATCAGCTGGGGTGAGCATGTTTGGGCAATTGTCTCAGATCAAAATGGCTCCCACAAGTCCACATTCTGGACCTGGTATTTCAGGTTGGTATTATGGGCTGAATTGTGTCCTCCCAGAATGCATATATTTAAGTCCTAACCCCCAGTACCACAGAATGCAGAATGTGACTGTATTTGGAGGCAGGGCCTTTAAAGAGATCATTAAGGTAAAATGAGGTCACTAGGATGGGCCCTGATGCAACAGGACTGGTGTCATAAGAGAAGGAGATTAGGACCCAGACACACACACAAGGGAAGACTGTATAAAGATACTGGAAGAAGACAGCCATCTACAAGCCAAGGGAGAGGCCTCAGAAGAAACCAGCCTGCTGACACCTTGATCTTGGACTTCCATTCTCCATACTGCGGGGAAATGAATTCTGTTGTTTAAGCCCCCCAGTCTGTGCTATTTTGATATGGCAGCTCTAGCAGACTAATACAGTTGTGTTCTTGTAAACAGATTCTGAGTGCGGGGCTGTGTGTGAAGGTTTACAGGAGCAATGTCAGGAAATCCCGTGTGAAAACAAGGAAGGAGGAATTGGGCAGAGGGAGAAATTGAGCTATAATGAATGTGCCACCAAGGTGGTGTTCTGGAGCTGGGATGGCCCTTCAAAGGACCGTTCCAAATCGAGGAAAGGGGCCTTTGTTTTCCTGCATCAGTCATTGTCAAGGTGAAAGAGGGGTGGTTATTTTGCCCCTCAAAGAACATTGGGTAATGTCTGTAGACATTTTTGGCTATCACACCAGGGGATTGGGTGTGTGCATGTACACTGGGGGAGCGGGTGCATGCACTACTGGCGTCTAGTGGGTAGAGACCAGTGATGCTGCTGCCATACATCCTAGTGCCCAAGACAGCGCCCACCCCCCACCCTTGTCACCCCACAACAAAGAGCCACCTGGCCCTGAATGTCAATAGTGCTGAGATTGAAAAAGCCTCTTGACATCAGCAAGCGCTGAGCTGCTCTGGCCAGGATTTAACCTTGGGCAGACCCCTGCTGCTGATGGCAGTTCCCAGTGAGGGGTGCAGCTGTGAACTTTCAGCAGCCTCTGCTCCCAGCAGTTGGGGAATGGGTGTGTTTGCCATGAGGAGGATCTAGGCAGACCAAAGAGCACTTGATCTGGCCTCTCAGACTTCTCTTTCCAATAACGGTAACAACCAACCACGTTCAGGGCACTGTCCTGTGAGTTTTACATATGTTATCCTCTTAAGCCTCACGAAAAGCCCAACAGGTGGATTTTATGGCCCCTATTTTGTGAAACAGTAATCCAAGACTCAGAGAGGTTAATCACTCACCCGATTACTGAGCTAGTAAGCTACCGAACCAGAATTTGAATCCGGGGCTGTCCGACTCCAAAGTCTGGCTCTTTCGCAAGCAGGAAGGACAACCTTTCCTAAAACAAGAGCAGTACACATAGCATACAGAGGAGAAAGAGGATGGGCCGCAGACTTAACCCAGAACTGATAGAAATCCAGCCTTACAACAGCCAGAACCCTGAAACAATGGCTGATACTGTGCAAACATTTCAGGGGCCAGATCCTGAGTTCAGGCTCCCTGGAGAGAGGCCTACCTGCCACCTCTCTATCCAGAAACGTTAATGGTTACCAGAATTAATCCCTCTGATGAGGGGACATTTTTTGCCTCCTTGAGGAAAATGCATGGACCTTAGGACTTTGTGTGATGACAAGTGTAACTATGAAAAAGGAAACAGTAATTATGAAAAAGGAAATAAAGACACTTCCCAGGAGACAATGGTATAAAAATAATTTTTATTTGCTACTGTAAATAAAGTAGTGCAAAGAGTAGTTTGGACCCACAGTATTGCAATTTATTTACTACCTTAGCAGCATACAGCATAGACAGTCTGCTCTTCCCCTTCCTCCCTCTCTATCCGTACCCCCCCCGACCCACACACACACACACACACACACACACACACACACACACACACACACACACACACACACACACACACACACACACACACACACACACACACGCCCCTATGCAGACGCAGGCAGGCATAAAGGGTGGGGAATGAGACTATGAGCTAAAGGCTTGTTTCCTGCGTATTCCACTGCTGCCAGTCTATTCTAATGGGTAATTCATGGAAAAGACTAGACCTAAATACTAAGAATTTTCTAAATGTTATTTCATGGATTGCAATTGAAAGGTAAACGATATCCAACAGTGTCATTAAATGATTCAGAAGCATTACAGCCCTAGAAAAATTCAAGGAGAAAAATGTAAACCCAATTTACAAAGCCATCGCCTCCCCTGTATTTCCAGCCTTAACCCATTTATTTCAAGGTGCCTTAGAATTGCTGGGTCTTGGATATCACATGGAAATCTGTCCATGGGACTGCAAGGGGTAGGGCAGTGGCTAACACACACACCAAATATTATCTAACTGGTAGAGAAGTCACAATTTTCTGTTTTTTAATAATAGGGAATGAACAAGGGGCTAAGATTCTTAAAATCCATCTCAGTGTATAAGGATTCGGATACGCCACAAGGCGCACTCTGACTCCCCCATACACACAGTCATTAGCAATGGACATCCGCAGTGACCCACTTAACCTCCCCGACATGTCCCTGTGATCAGGATGCCCCTTGTATTTGTTTGATAACCTTTGGTATAACCACTGTCTGCTCTGGGTATTTCTTTGATTTAAAAAAAAAAGACACCAAGTGCAAAATTCACATCCAGTTGACAAGACATTTAAGGTGTATAATGCCTCAGCCCCAGCTATCCAATACCAGCTGTTGAAAGGATTCTCTCTCATCTGGAGAGACATGGAGTACACAGTTCACCCACGTGGCTCCGGGTTATTGGTGACGGTGGGCTGGTCCTGAACAGAGGCGTCTGCAGCTGGAGTCACAGCTGGACTTGCAGCAGGGGCAGTAGGGTCTGGGGGGGCCCGGGCTGGTGTTGGATGGGAACTGCTGGCTGCAGAGACACATGCACAGCAAGTGCTGAATATTCAAAACAGTACGTGCAGGACACACAACCACACCTAGACCCTTGCAAGCCAGGAGAGATGCTTCTAGACTAGTGGTCCTGGCACTAACTGGATGAGCAACTTTGGACCCATTATCTAGGTTCTTTGGACTTGGGTGTCCCCTCCTATAAAATGGCAGGTTGAAACAGATGTGCCAAGATCTCTGGGGATTATAAGTCCTGAATTTATTCTGTGACTTTACAGGGGTGTGTAAATATTAAGAAAGAGAGGAAAGAAAGAAAGAAAGAAAGAAAGAAGAAAGAAAAAGAAAGAAAGAAAGAAAGGAAGGAAGGAAGGAAAGAAGGAAGGAAGGAAGGAAGGAAGAAAGAAAGGAAGAAAGGAAGAAAGGAAGAAAGAAAAGAAAGAAAGAAAGAGAGAAAGAGAGAAAGAAAGAAAGGAAGGAAGGAAGGAAGGAAAGAAGAAGGAACTCCTCGGTCTGTGTTTCCTATGATCATATCTTTTTTTCTCACCTAGTATTAATGCAATGCAAGCTCTGGATTACACCAATCAATCAGAAAGAGTGATGGTTTTATTCACATTCTGATTCCATTTGGATGATATGCCAAATTTGATTTAAATTGAATTATTTAAGTAAATGTGTATATATTTTGGAAAACATAATTACTAGGTTTAATTGTTTTTCAACCTACCTTTAGTAAGGAGGTTGAACCACAATAAAGGTTAGGGAAGCTTATAAAGTTTTATACTTTACGTCAATAGCTTTCAAGTGGGGGTAATTTCGACTCCCAGGGCACAGTTGGCAATGTCGGTAGACATTTTTGGTTGTCACAGCTGGAGGATGGGGTGCTACTGGCATTTAGTGGGTAGAAGCCAGGGATGCTGCTAAGCATCCTAAAATGCCTGGGCCAGCCCCACTCCCGAACAAAGAATGATCCAGCTCCAAATATCACTAGTGCTGAGGCCCACACACCTGTTTTATGTACTAAGGCTGCAAAGTATCCTGTCCATAAGATTGTGGGCTCTGGGACCCAGCTGCTCTGCCCTTTATCAGTTATGTGACCTTGGACAAGTTACCTACTCTCTTTCTGCCTCTAAAAACTGGAGAAAATAAGAATATCTGTACCTTATTTTGCTCTTACAAGGATTAGATGAGTTAACATATATATGGTTCTTAGAACAGTGTCTGGCTCGCCTAGGTACTCTACAGATGTTAGCTCTTACTACTAGTGACCTGGTTTACCATGGAAATGTGTTGATTTATCAATTTCTGGGGCCTCGCTTGCAGGACTGATGAAAAAGTTGGGTATGAAAATAGCCAAAACTTTGAAGCCAGAAAGCCCAGAGTCACATGGTCCTTACAGTTACCAGCTGAGTGACCTTGAGCAAGTTACTTAACCTCTCTGAGCTTCAGTTTCTCTATCTGTAAAGTGGCGGTACCAGCTTGCAGTGGTGTGTGACATACAGCTAGCACAGTGGCCATGGTTTGTGCGAACAATTGCCAGTTTGCCTTTAAGCAGTGCTCTTAAGCTCAGCAGTCCTTGAGTCTCATACAATTTTCAGTAGGTGGGACTATTTTTAAAGGTTCCCAAATGTCCATCCTGAAATGTATCGACTTATAGAAGATGCCATCACTTGTTGACCATCTGACTTCTAGATAAGCTCTTCAAGATTTCCACCTGCAAGAGGCTATACTAGGAAATTCCAGAATGGGCTCCAAAGCCTCTGGCCTTTTTGAATATGTAAAGGAATTCTCCAAGGAACCCCTTCCAATAGATACAGGAAACCTTGTGAATCCAGAGACTGTTCTGAAAGAACACGATAGTGGTAGCGGTGCGGAGGGGACCCAGGTGTTGCATAATCATGTGACGCTTCTAGGTCAAAGCCGTCACTCTGGCAGGTGATCTAACCGAGGCAGGGACCATGAGACCCAGTGATGCGGCACAAAGACCATTTGCTGGAGTCAGGAGACCTGTTCTGGGCAAGTCTCATTTATCTACCACTAATAGGTGACTTTGGGGTAGATACAGAATGGCAGACATTTCAGTCCTAAAATGCTTGAATCTCATAGGCTTTGGTTTCCTCATCTGTGAATTGAGGGGCTTGGATTAAATGGTGTCCAAGACTTCTTGGGCCCTAACAGTTACCTTTCTGGTGATTCTCTGAGAAAGTTAATGAAGCACTAAGGCACGTATTTTTCCTTTTCAAGCTCAGGGAAATGTTTAAATCACCATGGTAACAAGATAAATCAGCAATCAGTTTTCTGATTAAAACAAAAAAAGTGCCACTGTGTAATTGTGGAAGGGATGCATAATTAGCATCTCCACCACTGAAATCTTCTTGTCAGAGCATAATAAAAACGCTCCATGTTTCGGCAGTAGGTTTGTTATTATCCACATGAGAACTCTCCCATTTCCAGCAGCAGTTTGCAATCACTGGACAAACCCCCCAACAGTCCGTCATAATTTTAAAGTGGCCTCTTTGTCTCCAATCACCTGGAATCTGTCCTAATTTGATTACCGGATTAGAATCAAGGTAATGAGGAAAATCAGTGGGCTGCTTCAAAAATTACAGAGTCTATTCCTGAGTCAAAAGCGATCTTTGGATTATTTGCTGCTTGAGGGACCATTTTCTGTACATTAGTGAGAATAAAAAGAGCTGGCCCTGAGCTGGCAGACTGCAGCCCATGGGCCTCGGGTGGCTCGCTGCCTGTTTCTGTATGGCCTGCAATCTAAGCCTGGTTTTTGCATTTTGAAATAGTTGAATAAAAATCAAGAGAAGAGTACTATTTCGTGACATGTGAAACATATGAGATTCAAATCTTCAAGTCCACGGTAACGTTTTATTGGAGAACAGCCATATCATTTGTTTTCCTGTATTGTCGATGGCTGCTTTTGCACTATAATGAAAGTTGAGTAGTTGTGACAGAGATGGCCCTCAAAGCCCCAAATGTCTATTATCTGGCCCTTTACAGAAAAAACTGGCCAGCCTCTGTTGTGGACCACTGCAGAAGAAATATCTGCTTGCCAGTTGACCAGATGGGAGCATAAAAGAAAGACGAATTAGGAGAGAATATATTGGGTGAATCCAGGATAATAGACTATTTACAAAGATGAAGGGGGGGTGGCTGGGTAAGGAGGTGAGGGAGGGAAGCTTTGCAAATCATATACTATGAATAAGATCTAATCTACTTTGTTTGGGCCTCTGGATCCAGCAGGGACCAGTCCACGTATAAGATCCATGTCATTTAAACATTTCTTATGAGTAAAGATACCGGAGGGCAGCAAGGGTAATGAGATAGGAGAAAAGTAAAATCTCACCATTAAATCACTCTGACTTTAAGGCTGTTGCTTTTTGCATGAGTACCACTTTGTGACATTTTACTGTAATTTTAGTACCTCATTAACTGGAAATGTAGAGGACAGGAAGAGTAGGAAAAGGTTTAATTGATCTTGTTCATATCATCTTACTCTTTTTAAAAGACCACTTGGCTAACCACTTAGGCAAAAAGGATGAGTTGGCTTAAATTATGAATGTTTTGAATGGGCTGACATTGGTTTAAAAGGTAACCACGTCATGCCCAGAGCTGGTAGTTCTGCAGATCTTGCTCTATACTGTGTGTTCTATTTAGACATAAGGTTTACACTAACACGAGGAAGGCAGGACTTTCTCTGAAGCGGTCTTTTACATTTTCTCCCTCTATTCTTCCCTTTACCTTCCGCCAGGCAGTCAGCCAGACTCCATGCCTTTTCAGTCTCAGGGGAGATTTGTGGCGGGGACAGAAATGGAGATGGTTCTAGACATACTTTACTTTGGGATTTTTTTGTTTTTCCAAAAGCCTGGGTCCATTAAAGCAATTATGCTTGGCATCCTTGACAGGGAGGGGGAGAGGGAAAGTGCTTTAGAGATGCAATGAGGCAGGGAAAGGAGGTTTCTGGGGTGTGGGAAAGTGGCTGAGCCTGGCTGTGGGCGTACCCCAGCGGAGCCCTCACCTTGCCCTTCAGCAATCTGAGAAAGGAAGACCTGGCAGAAAAAAAAAGGCTAAGGTGCTCAGCTTTGGCAAAGCCAATGGGACTTGTAGGTGATCCAGAAGCTGCGAAACTGACGGACCTGGAAGGATGGCGTAGGCCCAGGGCAATGCATATTCTGCTATCAGACTGGTGACCATCTGAGTGGTTAGTGCTACCAAAAACCCAGGGACCTTTGCACGTCCCTGGGAGGCATCAGCTTCAAGAAAGACTGAACTGCCTGGTAGTATGCAAGCTAGGAATCAAAATCAAGTTCCCTCAAAGGAAATAAAAGAGATTTTTTTGCGTACGTAATATTTTTTGTGGACTTGTTTTGGTACGCTAGCTAGACTAGTCGGTATTTTTGTTTAGCTGTTTTTTAAAAGAGTTTTATGTTTTAGAAAGAGTCTAATAGCATAGAAAAGCATGCTAGGCTCTGGTAGTGGTGTCTGCTACTTACTGAGGTAAACCAAGCTCTTTAAGTGTAGGCTCTACCTGGTGTCAGTGTACTTTAATTGCAAGTAAAATGCCCTAGACGGCATTACTCCTTAGGAGCTACCAGGCTAACATTTCTTGAGTTCTAAATACTTTACTCAGTGTTCTCTCATTGGGTTCATTCTGCTGTTTTAGAGAACAGGAAACTAAGGCACAGAGAAGGTCCCTCCCTTGCCCAAGGTCACACAGCTAGTGACAGGCCAGCATCTTAGCAGTCTGTGTTGTTAGCTACTGTCCCACACTGCTAGCCTTCTGAACGCAGGACAGTTTACTGTGGCAAGTGTGGTGAAGTGTTGACTATATATCACAAAGCCTATAAACTCAGGAGGAAAATGAAGGCAGTTGGAGCCGAACACAAAATGGATGGATAGCTCAATTTAAAGGTTTGGCCATAAATCATAAGTTTTTAAAAACAACTGACTGGAAAAAATGCAAATCACAAAATGACAGAGATCCCTAACTTAGAGCACACTCCTCCTACCCAGCACCTTAAGGGAGGCTCTTAACTCTCAAATCCGGTCCCTCTCTACTCTGGCAGTCAGCACCTAGGCTGCGTTCCTGTGCCGGCTTAACCACGGCCAGGGTTACCACCAACATCTACTACAGCCGTCACCTTCTCACGGGGTGGCTCATGGACCTCGGGCACCAGCTCCTCCGAGAGATGCCCGCGGTAGAAACTCTGCCCGCTGAGGGACCCCTGCAGGGCTTCTCTCCTGCTTTTCTACGCTTCCATCCCCCTTGCCCCATTGTCCAGTCACTGACGGAGTACCCTCTTATTTCAAAGTCATTGACAAATTTGCACTTATATGGAGGACTTTAAAAATATGAAAATAATTTACTACATATTTTAATTCAACACTAGTCCTAGCAGGGCTGGTATGTACCACTGTAGGGGCACATTTTGGAAATATGTGGAGACTCTTTTTTTTTTTTAACTTCTATGCCCTTACGACTCTAAGTGTGTGGAACAGCATCGTGAATGTAACCTGAAACCTTGTGAGAAATGCAGGATCTCAGAGGCCACCCACAGACTGACTGACTTAGAATCTGCATTTAAACAGATCCCTGTGTGATTCCTATGCACACTGAAATTAAGAAGTGAGGGGCTAGAATTTACATATTGAAATACATATTATTTTATTATAATTACTTTCTTTTTATTTCTCCTTTATATTGCTGTTTAGAGCATTATTTTTAAAACTAAGTGTGTAGGCAGATTATTTGTCATTCATTTCAAGGTACCAAAAAAAATGTGTTAAAAAATACATCTTATGTCAGGGGACAGTGGGTCAGAGGCAGATGGTAGCCACCGTTTTAGAGTATCACAAGTGTGAAAAAGTTCAGAAGTCTGCTGCCCTACATCCTTTCACAGACTCTATTTTGTGATTTGGGGCAGACCACGGCA